GCCCGATGTGGGACTCGATCCCACATCGGGCTCCTTGCTCATCGGGGAGCCTGCTTCTTCCTCTGCCTGTGCCTGCCATTCTGTCTGCCTGTGCTTGCTCTCTCTCCCTCTCTCTCTCTGACAAATAAATAAATAAAATCTTTAAAAATAAAAGTAAAAAAAAAAATAAAAGGTAATTGTGAGGGGGCTTGGGTGGCTAAGTCTGTTAAACTTCTGCCTTCCGCTCAGGTCATGATTCCAGGGTCCTGGGATCCCACCTCGATTGGGCTCCCTGATCCTGGTTCTCACTTTCCTCCCCGCTGGGGCTGTCTCTTTCTCTCAAATAAATACAGTCTTCAAAAATAAAAATAAAAGGTAATTGTGAGGATTGTCTGAGTTCATATTTAGTGGGTGAATTTAGGTAAAGGGCTGGGTCAGATCCCAAAGTGCCCTGCCTCGTGTCTCCTCTTCCCAGTGGTTTTTGTTTTGTGAGTGGCGGTTCCAGTGGACTTGTTTGTTTTTCAGAATTGAAGCTACAAGATGGCTGACCAGGATCCTGGGGGCATTAGCCCCCTCCAACAAATGGTGGCCTCGGGCACTGGGGCTGTGGTCACCTCCCTTTTCAGTAAGATCTGGGGAGGTGGAGAGGGGGCAGCTGGGGTCTGGGGCAGGCCAGAGATTGGAGGCGACTTGGTTCTGTGGTGGGGTCAAGGGGAGGGGTCCTGAAAGGAGCCTTCAGACCTGCCCTCCTCCTCCAGTGACACCCCTGGACGTGGTGAAAGTTCGCCTGCAGTCTCAGCGCCCCTCGACGGCCAGCGGTGAGTGCCTAGCCATGGAGCCCAGAAGGGGCCTGGGCAAAACCAAGATCTTCCAGAGATGGGGTCCCCGGGACAGGTCGGAGTGGGGGCCCTTGTGACTTAAAGGACTGCCTTGTGTTTTAGAGCTGATGCCTCCCTCCAGACTCTGGAGCCTCCCCTACGTGAAATGTGAGTTCCCCGAACCACAGGGAGCTTGTGAAGGTCCAGGGGATAGAGTGGCCCAGTCTCCCCAGGGGACTTGAGTGCCCACAGCCCTACCACACACTTCCAGGTCCTACCAGCGAGCCCTGTGTCCTGGACAAGAATGTCCACCCAGGGACCATGGCCTGTGCTGGCCTCCAAGGGATGGGACTCACCCCCTCCCTGCGGGGTTCCAGGGCAGTGTCCTCCTAATACCCTCTTCCCTTCCCCAGTGCCCTCCTCTCTCCGATCCACAGGGAAGTGCCTCCTGTACTGCAATGGGGTCTTGGAGCCCCTCTACTTGTGCCCGAATGGCGCCCGCTGTGCCACCTGGTTTCAGGACCCCACCCGCTTCACTGGCACCGTGGTGAGGAGCGGCTGGGCCCCCGCCTGGAATCTGGGTGCTCTGGAGGGATTCACATCGGTTGGGTGGGAGACCCAAGGAGGGGTGGGTGGTGAAAAGCAAGTAGCAGTAGCTGGGGCAGCTTGGGAAGGGCCCTCCGGCGGAGGTGGTGCCTCTCTGCGGTTTGAAGGGTGAGCAGGAGTCTGTTGGGAGCTAAACGGGCGATTGCACGTGTGCTGGCCTGAGGGGCTCTTGCCTCCCAGCAGGACCCAGGGCTGCGGACGGAGGTGAGGGCATCAGGCTGGGGCCGCGTCCAGGTGGGCCCCATCACAGGGCTCATTCTGGTGTCTGTGTGGCTAGGACGCCTTTGTGAAGATCGTGAGACACGAGGGCACCAGGACCCTGTGGAGCGGCCTCCCAGCCACCTTGTGAGTCTCCCAGTCCCGCACATTGCTTTTCCCTGCTCTCCTACTCTCCTGTCATGGTGGCTGGGGCGGGGGCGCCCGGGAGGTTGGGAGCCTTTGGGAGTCCCAGCTAACATCTGTTCACGCTCCCAGGGTTATGACTGTGCCGGCCACTGCCATCTACTTCACCGCATATGACCAGCTCAAGACCTTCCTTTGTGGTCGAGCCCTGACTTCTGATCTCTACGCCCCCATGGTGGCTGGCGCACTAGCCCGCTGTGAGGACAGCCCGGGGCCCTTGATCTCTCTCTGACCCGCCGCTCTGCCGGAGCCCGGTCCTGGCTTCCAGCTCTAGTGTCCGGCAGCTTAGGGGTGGAGGGATCTCTTGGGCCCCTAGATCCCGGGAGAGGTGGTGTCTGTCGGGCTGTGAGCTGACCCCTCCCTCCTGTTCCCCCGCAGTGGGCACCGTGACTGTGATCAGCCCCTTGGAGCTGGTGCGGACAAAGCTGCAGGCTCAGCACGTGTCCTACCGGGAGCTGGGATCCTGTGTCCGAGCCGCCATGGCCCAGGGCGGCTGGCGCTCACTGTGGCTAGGCTGGGGCCCCACTGCCCTTCGGGATGTGCCCTTTTCAGGTAGGAGTCAGGTGCGGGGGGTGGGGTAAGGGAGCCTTTGGATGACATACAGGTGGCCTACAACGCAGTGACTTTGAAGTTGTTTTTCTGGACCTTGAAAATCTCATCTGTGAAATGGGTTCAGCGGGTGGGGTAGTCACCCAGGTTTCCTGGAGAAAATTCTCATGGAGAATCTGTCACAGAGACCGGCCCGCCACAGACAGTCCTCATTCTCCAGAGGAAGGGCTCGTTGCATTGTGCGGGGGTGAAAAATGGGAGGTTTGAGGCCACCCTGCTGCCCTTCCTGACTCTAATGAGTGTTTCCCTACATCCCCAAGCCCTGTACTGGTTCAACTATGAGTTGGTGAAGAGCTGGTTGAGTGGGCTCAGACCAAAAGACCAGCCGTCTGTGGGCATCAGCTTTGTGGCTGGCGGCATCTCAGGGACGGTGAGTTGATTGGGCCCGGACAAGGTCAGTGCGTGAGGGAGAGTTGTGGGAGGCGCTCCAGGGAGACGGGCTCAGGTAGCTCCCTCTTGAGGAGCAAGCTCACCCTGCCTAGTGAAGCCCTAGCTAAGGCTGGCAGAGCTCAGCTGGACACGAGGGAGGGGGTCCTGGGACAGGAGACCAGCCCTCTTCCCACCCCACCAGGTGGCGGCCATCCTGACTCTACCCTTCGACGTGGTGAAGACTCAGCGCCAGGTCGCGCTGGGAGCGGTGGAGGCTGTGAGAGGTGAAGGTTCTGGCTGGTGCGGGGCCGCGCGGGTGGGGACCCAGGTGGGGTCCTGACCTGGCTGTGCCTCACGTTTGCAGTGACGCCCCCACGCGCAGACTCCACGTGGCTGCTGCTGCGGAGGATCCGGGCTGAGTCGGGCACCAGGGGCCTCTTTGCAGGTGAGTGTGTGTGTGTATGTGTCCAAGCTCAGGAAGGATTGGGGCCCCCTGGGGTCCTGACCTCTGACCCTAACCCCCACTCCTATTGCAGGCTTTCTCCCAAGGATCATCAAGGCTGCTCCCTCCTGTGCCATCATGATCAGCACCTACGAGTTTGGCAAAGGCTTCTTCCAGAGGCTCAACAGAGAACAGCCTCTGGGCTCTTAGAAAGAGCCAGGGGACAAGGACCCCATCTCTTCCGTGGCTGGGGAGTGCCGAAGGAGACTGAGCCAAGTGCCTTGTCCTCAGCACTGAGGGGAGGGGCCTCATTTCCCATCCCCCTCAACTATGAGTCCTAGGGGTAGGGGCTTGCCCCTCGAGGCCCAGGCCCCTTCCCAAAAACCGCTTTTTTCCTGCTGTTTTTCTCATTCCCAAGCCCCAAGGATAATCACTTTTCCACCACCACCCCTACCCCAAGTTCAAGACCAAATCTGCTATTTGTCCCCTCCCTTGCCACCGTTTCCCTGTGTGTTTGCTGTAGCGGTGTCTGCTCCTGAGGGCCACCAAACCCTGGGCCTGGTGTAGTCTGCCCCCGTCCCTGTGAATTCCTTGAATCTAAAGACGATGAACCTCTCACTATCGCCTGTGACTGCGGGGTAGGGAGGGGTGGGGAGGAGGAGAACTTGGTGAGTGGCTTGCACAGAGGAGGCCTGGAAGGGACCTGGAGGTTGGCTCTGACAACCCAGGTGGTATCCATAGAGAGGACACCCTGCCAACTTAGAGCTGGGTCAGGGTGAGGACCCAGAGTTGAGGGGGTGACGGGTAGTGTTAGAGCCACGGGGGAGGGTGGCAAGACCTCTCCCCACGGATACCCTCCAAGGGACAACAGAGGGAGGATGCTTCACTGGGGGTGCAACTTTGGGCCAAAGCTGAATCCCTCAGGATGAGGAAAGTCTCAGAGAACAGGGCCCTGCCAGGGCTGGCCTCCTCTGTCCTGCCCTCGGGCTGTTCAATGTCTTCCCTGCTGGGGGCTAATCAGGTTACTAAGAGTGTCGGGTTGAATGGGGCACCGACACGTTGTGGTCTTTCCCGGGACAGACAGGACAAAAGCACCCCACTTCCTCAATCGTTCTGACCGGTTTGCTCCCGTGGGGCACACACCTGTGGTGTCTGGCCTACCATCACCCCAGTTACGGACCCAGCACGGGCTCTACTGAATTGTGCCACCTTAGGACAGCTCCCAGTCCCAACCCCCCACAGACAAAGTTGCCCTCAGTCTTCTGGTTTTTATTTGCCGCCGGATCCCCTCAGAGCCCCTACCCTGGGGCCGAGGACGGAGTGACTCTGGGGTATACACAGGATCAGACTGGAGAGGGAGGGGGGTGGGGTGCTGAGGCTGGGCCATCAGCTCCTGAGGAGGACGGTGGGGATGAGCGAAGAAGAGTCCGGTAGGAAGCCAGCCAGGTGCCAGGGTCACCAGAAGAATGATACAAGCTTTCCCCAGGGCACCCTGTGGCCTGTGGTGCCCCTGCGTCCCGGCCCAGGCAGCTTCCCTTTGCAGCTCCTGCTCCCTTGGGCAGAAAGTTAAAACGGGCAAGAAGCAAAGGGTGCCTTTGGCAAGAGACCCATGGCTGGGTGGCCAGAGTTCTCTGGAAAAGTGGCCTGGATTGGGGGACTTTGTGCCCGTGCCCCTGGAAAGGGGGGGCCAGCACTGCCCACGCCGCTCCTCAGCTGGGGCTCAGTGCCGGGCTGCCCTCTGGACTGTCGCTCACCAGGCACTCGTTGGATTTGAAGCTCGCCAGGGACTTGCAGCTGGGGATGGAGGCCAGGGAGCCGCAGAGGCCCAGCATGGAGGGCGTGGGGTCCTTCCCTGAGGAGAGAGGGCGGGTGAGGCCGAGCCAACCGGTCTGCCTGTGTGTGAGCGGGGGAAGGGGGGGTGCAGGTGAAGGTGAAGGAAGGGTAGCCCTCAGGTCAGCACCCCCCCCCAACTCCCCCTGGAGATTTTCCTCATTTCTGGAGGATTTGGCATTTTCAAGTAAACCGGGATAAGCAGCTGGCCATGCCATGCCCAGTGCTGGGACACTATTGTAATCGTCAGTTTATGTCTCTGTCTCCCCCTGAGGTTCATCCTCTCTGTCTGTTTATTAAACACGCGGTGAGCACTTGTTCCGTTCCAAGCACTGGGGATACAGAGAACGGACGAGACACAGTCCCTGCCCTCACGGAGCTCACAGTCTGGTGGGGGAGACAGACACACAGACAATCACAAACACAGTGTGGCGGGGTTCCACGTCCACAGCCTGCCTTGTCTCAAAGAAGATCTAAAGTCATCCAGAACAGTGTGGTGTTGGGAAAGAAAAGGCAGGAGTCCAGGCCCCAGGAAAACTAGGGTAGGGAACCAAGGTGAAGCCAGGGGAGGGCAACACAAAATGCATGCGTTGAAGTCCTGGACATTCGCTTGAAGGGAGCCACTAATTTGGCTCTGAGCTTCCTGGCAGCCAAAGAAAAGGGGGAAACAAGGGTCAGGCAAGCGGTTCACAGAGCACGTGAGATAAGAGCAAATTAGTTAGGCAAAGAATTCCCCAAGAACCTGGGAGTCACGGAGCCCCCAACAATGCTACACTGGGGATTAACCAGCACCCCCATGTTACTGATGAGCAGGGCTTGGCAAGGTGAAGTGCCGGACCAGGGACCAAGCTCGAACAACTGGAAGAGGCGCTGCCTGGGGTATGCAGCAGGGTCTGCCCGACACCCCAAAGCAAGCTCTTAAATGCGATGCTAAGCTCTCTGGAAGGGCTCAGTGAAGGAGGGACTCGGCCAGGGTCACCACAGGCCCCAAGGCCTGGCCTCAGCCCTTCTTGGAAGAATGTTGGTTGCTGGATTAGGGGGCTCACCGATGGGGCCCCAGGGCTCTTCGTCCCGTTTGCCCTCTCCCAGGCGCTGGGAGTCCGAGCTCAGGCTGGCTTCAGCTGACAGTGGCTCCGTGCTCATGAAACTGTGTCTGCAGCAGAGCAGAGGGCTGATGTGCAGGCAGAGGCCTGCAGCCCGCCCCAGCCCCCCTACCAGCCCCACTTACCCAGTAAGGACCAGCACTGAGGCCCAAGCTGAGCCCTGCTGAGGCTTACCTCCGGTACAGCTTGGGATTGTTGGTGCCCTCTGCTCCACTGAGCATTCCCAGGGATGGCCATTGGTTGACCAGGGGCGTGGTGAGGTCTTTGGAACCCTGGGCCAGGGGAACGTGGTCACCGGGGATCAGACCTGTCCTGGGATGGGGAGGAGGGGTCAGGCCTGACTAGGAGAGGGCACAGAAGTGGGGAAAGGGGGGCTCAACGGGGGTGGGTAGTTACGAATGAAATCTGGGCAGCAGAAATGGGGACAGAATGTTGTGGACCAGTAGGGCAGTTCCTGGGAGTCAGTGGAGGGTACTGAGGTCAGGGAGGAGATGGGGATCTAGTGCGCTCATGCTCATGATGGGAGCTGGAGGGAATGATGGGGTGCTGGGGGACTCAAGTTAGGGTGGAGTGGGTTGAAAATAGAGTGGGAATCCTGAAAGGTAACGGAGCATCTCTGGGGATCATGCTGGGAGGTCACACGGTGATGAAAAGTTTCAGGCAGAAGCTATCAGAAGGATGAATAACAGTGAAGTCCCCGGCGGGGGGGCACTGTGGGGATGATAGCGGTTGCAGATCAGAGGGGTGCTGAACAGAGGGAAAGCGATCATGTCCACAGTTTGAGTAACAAATGAGGTCTTTCTGAGTAACGTTCTGTAGCCATGCTAGCTGATGGAGTAAGTGGGGAGCCGGTTTTTGGGGGGTCGGGTCGCTGGATCTTATGTTGAGGGCAATTTAGTTTACCGGGGAGGGGGTCTTGGGGTGGAAGTGAGGGGATCAGTGGTTTGATGCTGGCGGTGGGTGGCGCTGGCTGCTGTTACCAAGAAAGCGGGGGCGATGTGGTCGGGGTGGCCGGGACGCGGCGAGGTTGGGGGGCGGGCGGGGAGGACAGGGGTTGGGCGGCGGCGGCGCTCACAGCTGCTCCTGCAGCTCCAGGATCACGCCTTCCAGCTCCCGCTTCTCGCGCTGGTTCTGCGCCGCCGCCTCCTCCAGCTGCAGCTGCAGCCGCCGGTTCTCTGCCTCCAGGTCCTTTAGTTGAGACTCGCGCAGGCGCACCAGCTCCTCCAGGTAACCCTGCGGGACGCGGGTTCAGCGCCGGCGGCGGGACGCGGGTATCCCCGCGGACGCCACCCGCCCGCCCGCCGGCCCCCCCCACCCTGCTCCCCCGGCGCGCGGCACGCACCTTCTGCGCGTAGACGATGCGGAACTTCTGTTCCATCTTGTGCCATTTGCTGTACCAGCTGTCCTCGTCGGTGACGAGCGGCAGGTATGGGTGCTCGGGAGAGTTGTCCTCGCTCGTACTGCTCTCGGCGCTGTGCCGCTCCTCCTCGTCCGTCAGGTAGTCGTAGCTTGGGGGGAAGGCAAAGTGGGCACGGCCCGCCCTGCCTGCCCCTGCCCGCCCTCCGTCAGCCCCGCACCCACGCGCGGCTCACCTCTGGGTGAACTTTAGGTAGGGTGTGTAATCGATCACCACGGGGGTCTTCCCGTCCAGCACTTCGCCCTTGAGACAGAAGCTGGGGGCGGGAGAACCACAGGGTGGAGGGGCGGGCATGACGGAACGCGAGTGTGGACATCCTCGGCTCAACTCCCTCCGCCCCCGCCCCCGAGACCCCACCTGAAGTCTATGGCGCTCAGTCCGATCAGCATCCCGGTGAGGACGGTGGCTTCCTCCCGCAGCATGATGGCTCCCGAGTCATAGAAACGTCTGCAGGGGTAGAGGGTTGGGGGTGGGGGGGAGGCTGGGTATAGAGGGACTGACGGTGCCGCGGCCTCATCCGCCCAGGGAGGCCCCAGCCCTCAGGACTTCTCCTGTTGACTCACTACAAACCTTTCCTAGAGGAAGGAGGTATGTCTCTCCTGCTCACCCTTCAGTGTGGATCTAGGCTCTCCCTCAGAGTGGCGCCCACTGTGTCTCCTGTGTACTAGAACGTGTGTTCCCCGAGAAAACTCTCCCCCATCCTCTGAACTACCCCTTTCCCACCAGTTATGGGACCATTCAGATCCATACAGTCAGGAAACAAGTTCTCATCGTTAGTGCTTGACATACAGAAGGTGCTCAAAAACGTGTTGATGTGAACTCTGAAATGGGAGGTCAGACTAGAGAGAGAACGGAGTAAAACCATCAGGTTACACGTGACCACTGGGGGGCGGGGCGGGGTGACACATACTGCGGACTGTACTCGGTTGCAAACACCCATCCTGCCTGTGACCCCTGCCCCTGAGACCCAATCTCTCTGCAAATCCACAGTGCAGGGACTCAGGCTCTGCACACCAGGACTTTAGTCCACGGGCGGCAAGTACAGACTGCTGCTACTGTTTGGGAAGTAGGTAGGGCTCTGTGTCACAGGTCATGGAACGAGGCCAACAGGTAAAATGATGCATAGTTGAGGCTTGTTCAGAGGCATGTCGAGGTTAGAGCTGTGCATGAGATCAGTACTGTGGAGTGATAGAGAAGAATGAATGTGACTTGGAAGAAATGGTGGTGGTGCTAAAGGCTGTCTGGGACTGCAAGCTCCTCAGCCGGAG